ACCATATGATTTCCTCAGCTCCTATTTCCATGCGTACCTCTGCTCAACGGCCCGACCTAAATAATGACGCGCAGTCGATTTTTGGCGCAAAAAACTCCTCGTTGTGGTCACCTGGCAACCAAGAGCGAGGGGATTCCAGAGTACCCAGACCTCGGCGTCTTCATCAACCTTCTGGAGACGTTGATGTTCGTCCTGAAGGAATATCCAACTTGACCAATAGCTTCTACCAAACTTCACCAGATTCGCCTGACGCCAACAGTGCTTCCTTAGTTCCTGGATTCGCCCCCGGAATGATTCATCTAGGCGGTGACGCGTCGAGCTTCGCCGTTCAGCAGCAACTAGTTGTAAGCCTCCTTATCTGAACTCTTACAATATTTGGATTAAATGTAGCAATATAAAAATGGTGTGATCTTTATTTTGGTCGCATTCTCTTTTCTCTTTATAGAAGAGGCTTCACCTCGTTTTTGTATCTTATTTGTGTTGTCAGGGCAATTTTTCCCTTAGACTAGTTTTAGCTTGGTGGTGAGTCCCAAAACTTACTAATGATGCCAGCTAAATGTCTGGGAATGTATCCAGTCCACGGTCCTGTGCTGAAAATTATCATAACTACTATGGGAAACGACATGACGGACGAGAGCTTAGCAAAGATTCATCGGTGTCGCAGGGCGGTGCGCCGAGAACCTATTCGAACAAATCTACAACCACAGCTCCAAGACAACCCTCCATACCCCACAGCCTCCGGTGGAACCAACTTACAAATCCCTTCCACTCTTCTCTGGTACAACACTGGTACAACAAAACAAGCAAAAAGGAGACATCTGGATTAAGGAACTATCGTAAACCAGGGGAAAGAAGCTCGCAAGGAAGAAGATGGTGAGGAAGTTTTGGAAATTAAGTGAAGACGACTCCAGTGATTGTAGTCAGCTCGAATAAACAACGACAACTTTGGGGCCCCACGTTTCACATGACCTGAGAGAGGAATTTGGTCACATAAATAGGGTATTATGAACAAATGGACTAATAATCCGCTTGAGATGCATCAGACGACCAAAGATAGATGTCCACAGTTTTCTCAGGGTTCACGGGCTTAGTCAAGGAGATGATGTGCGTAGGTAATGCCTAATATCCGCAAGCATGGAAATCAGAGCCTGGGCACTCTGCAGATGAGGCGACATTGTACGTGCTACTGAAGGCTTGATAAGTAGTATATACGAAGAAAAGTTGGGTTTCGAGGACTATCTTATTTCATAATTGTTGAGCCTTGATGGCCAAAAACATACGTTCCTTTTTGCTGTCCTAATCACTTTGAGCCATCACTTCGGGTTTCGTGTATAAGCGAACACAAACATGCACATACAAATACAGAGACAGACACACTCGCATGCATCACATATGACCTTAACTAACCAAATCACTTTATACTTGATCAAAGAGGCCAGATGTAGAGTATATATACCAGTTTTTAGGGATTTGCAGGTGAGTTTTCTTGACTCGTTAGCTTGAATTTTGTTGCGACGTTGTTACCTCGCTGAGATGATGTTCGTCTCATGACGGT